CTGTTTGGTTACTTGTTTGTTGTTTCGTTGTCATTTGCGGTGCAACAAAAATAGTTGAGATAGTTGGTTTGAATGGAGAGTTGAAGAAGTTGGAATTGCGAATTTGGCCAATGCAGATGCTACTGGACAACATCGACAATCAGCTACCCTGCATCAAGAAGCTAAACCAGCGAGTGGACGTAGCCCTCCAGAAATCATGTCCCTCGTCGTCAACATCAACATCCAGCCCATCTGCATCGCAGGACAACCTGCAGCACAAACAACAACAGAAGCAACAACACCAGCAACAACATCGGCAACAACATCGGCAACAGTTCTGGCAGAGACAGCAACCGAATCTATCATGTGCAACGTCCAAGTTAGAACAGAAGCAGCGAGAATTGAATGAGACTTTTGAACTGGTGCACTGCATGGCCAGGCAGAAGAAAAACTACCTCCTTGACTGTCTGAAGGAGGTTAAGGATTTCATGGGCAGCGTCAACGAGCTGGGTAACTGGCTGAGAAAGTACTGTAAGAATGTCAAGTGTACAACCATGCCTGGCGCTCTCCTCAGTACTGTTAAGAATGAATACGAGAAGTTTCTGGTTAGTCGGCGGTTTTTGGTTGACTATGTGTAGTAAAGCCATTTTAACTGGTTTATTGATCTATTAATAGGGATACATCCAAACACACGCACACACACATTCACACACACACACACGTACACACGTACACACATTTTTTTCATTCGCATTCAGAAACAGCACAAAACGCTGGAACGCAAACTGGACGAGGCACGAACTCTGCTACTGAATGGTGAAGAGATGAAGAATCGTTGTCATGGTGATCAGATGATCGAGTTGCAGTCGAACCTGGACAAGTTGGAGATGCAGGCCTACCAAGCTCTCGTGAAATCAAACATGGAGAAGGTTTGTTGTTGTGTTGCTGTGTGGTATTGTAGTTTGTCGTTGTCAACTGGTGTTCTTTACCGACCGCAAATACGTCATCATCATCGTCATCACCACACCACATCATAATGACCACTAGGAACGTCTGGAGGACCACATGAAGAAGGTCCATGTTTTCCACGCGGCCATGAACCACCACGACACGTGGATGGGTGGCGCTGAGAAGGAGCTCTCCTGCAAATTCAAGAGCCCCAGTAAGCTGTTGCACACCGTCGTCAAACAGATCGATGAACATAAGGTCGGTTATTTTAGTTTCTGTATTTTATTTTTCAATCTTTTTTTTATATAATTTTATGATAATTTGTAAAACTTGTATAATTATTTTATGTAATTTATTAATTGTAATAAATTTTTTTAGCCTTCGTGTGGTGATGTTTACTATTTAACGAGTTGTTTTGTTTCAGACTTGTAAAAAAGAGCATTAACTTTGATGTGCTGAAGTTAAAACACAATTTTCCTCTTAAATCTCTCTCTTCTATTCGCACATCAATCATTCATTCATACAATCAATGTTAGAGCTGTCAGAGCAGTAATTGTAAAGAAATTTTTGTTTGCATGCATGTTGTATTGTATGTTTGTGTACGTGTATGTTTGTGTACGTGTATATTTGTGTACGTGTATGTTTGAAACTCACAGTGTTTCAAATCGGAAGTGACCCAGAGCCAGGAGAGGGTGCAGAACCTTGACCTTACGGGTACCTACCTCAAGTATTTCGGCTCCAAACGCGATGCCAACCAGGTTAGAATGCAACTGTTCGGTTCGAAATCCAGATGGAAGAGATTGGTGATGAGGACTGAGGAGAGAGGGCGCAGTCTGCAGAGGGCACATAGGGAAGATTTGAGGGTAGGTCAAGCTGTCATTGGTTGGGTCATTTTGTTGCCGTATTAGGTGTTTGGATTTTTATTAGGGCGATTGCTTTGTTGTAGTTGCACTGCTCCCCTGTTATCATTCACGATAACATGCGTGTTTCTGGCAGTTCTACGATGCATGGAGAGAGCTGATGGAATGGTTCGACGGTGTTGTGGAGATCGTAGAGAGAGATAAGATGAACGTGTCGACCGTGTCACTATCAATTGCTCTCTCATCATCATCATCCACGCTTCCTCATCTGTCAGCTGATGACATCAAGGTTCTTTCTTGATTTGGTTTATTCTTATTTTTATCATTGTTTTGTAATTATTATTATCACAGAAACTGCAAAATGACCTCACCTCGAAGCAAGCTTCGTTGTATTTGACCTTGAGACAAGGTCGTCATCTCAGGGACAGGTAGGCAGTGGTTTTTTGTATTGTTCTGTGTTGAATTTGTATACTAATAATAAACTTTGTTATGCTTAAATCGTGTGCGTGCGTGCGTTTGTGTATGTGTGTGTGTACGTATTTGTTTGCGTGTTTAATATTTGTTCATATATTTTTTCCCCTTAGATGTACAACATCTGATCCTGAAAGAAAAGTGCTTGAAGATATGATTGATCAGGTGAAGTCTAGATGGAGAGATGTGTGCAGAGCTGTCAATCAATGGTGGGCTTGTTTCGTTCACTCACTCACTCATTCATTCATTCATTCGTTCGTTTGTTCGTTCGTTTATCCGTTCATTCGCTGAGTATAGTGATTATCAAGTTGTTGATGATACAAATTACGACTGATGATTTTTTAGAAATTGTGTAATTTTATTTATTCGTTCACGTGCGTTCACCACTAAACAGCGAACGACAGTATTACGAACGTCTCGTTCGTGAACAAAAAATGAACGAAGCATGCAAAACATTAGAAGACGTGTTCACCAAACTCGTGAACGAGATGAACAAACAGGTGAACGTTCGCGGAGATTTGCATACCGTTAGAACTATCAAAGAACAACACATGGTTTGTTGATGTTCTATTGTTGTTGTTGTTGTTGTTGTTGTTGTTGTTGTTGTTGTTGTTGTTGTTGTGCTGTTTGTTGTTCAATGTCTATATTTATTTTTATAAATCGCACATAGAACCTTCGAGAGAACATGGACGTAAAGCAACAAGACTTGAAAAAATTGTTGCCGATGTTGAATGTCGACAACGACGATACCGCAACATCCACTGCAACACTCTCAACAACAACACCAACAACATCATCTGCAACAATCAACAAACTGCTACAACTATCGGCGAATGTTGAGACACTGTGGAATGATAAGATGAAATCCATTGAAGAAGCTCTGACAATGGTTTGTTGGTCGTGCTCTCTACCTTTCTTTCTTTTTAAATTAATTAATTAATTAATTAATTTATTTATTTATTTATTTGTTCTTTTAATCATTTATTCATTTATAATTAAATAACAAAAAAGGCGGAAGAATTCAACACAAAAATCCTCTCAACTTCCGAAAACTTGACCAAACTGGAGACAATGTTGAATGAGATATCGACGAATTTCAACATGAACGTAGATGTGAAAGAGGAGAGGTTCCTTGAGCAGCTAGAGAGAATAAAAGTCAGCTCCTAAAGATTTCATTTTAATTTAATTTTCTTTAGTTAGGCTGTATTACGTACTTCTGGTGTTGTTAATCTTGGTAGGCTTTCTTCATATTTCATTCAACGTATCTCAATGCTGTTTGTTTCTGTGTTAGTTTTGTTTCTCATCGATTCGATTGCTAATGTTTGGAGAGTTAGTGTATTTGTGGATATGTGTATCTGGATTGCAGGTAGTGGAGAGCCAGATGGAAGAGGAGGAAGGGAACGTCCGCGACATCAATGACCTCAGTCGCAACATTCTCGCCTCATGTCATCCGTCATCAGTCAGTAGCATCAACTACTGCAAGTCACTCATTGAAGCCCAGGTGTCGCAGGTCGTTACGACGATGATGATGACGATTGTGGTTAAGATGATGATGATTATGATGGTGATGATTGTGATGGTAATGATTATGATGATGATTATGATGGTGATGATGATTGTGGTGAAGATGATTTTGTGTTGGTGGTGATGATTGTGTGACGATGATTTTGAGGAGATTCAGAATCGTTTTTCACTAACACAACACAAATAAAGCAAATTTAAACGAACAAATAATAATAATTTAATAATTTATCAAAACAAATAGCTGAATAAGACCAGCAAGCAGAAGAGGCACCTCTTAGATGAGGCTCTGAAAAAGTTTCGCGAGAACAAAACAGCATTTGAAGAACTTCTGGCATGGATATCTGAAGCACTTGCACTGCTTGCTCTCAAAGACAACAACACACACGCAGACAGTCTTGACATGGCTGAGGCTCTACTCAAAGAACATCTTGTTAGTTGTCTGTGTGGGTTTCTTGCTTGTTCGTTTTGTTTGTTTGTTTGTGTTGTGTGGCGTTGAAGTTTTGTGAGTTTTTAGCGAATGATTGAGCTGTAATGAGAAATGTTTTTTCAGTGTTCGTTTTATGTTTTGCTTAACTTTTTTCCAGGAGTTTCACGGTGAGTTGATGGAAAAAAAGAAACTCGTCGAAAAGTTTTTCAGCAGTTCATCGAAGAAACATTCTCTCTCTACCCTCAGTAATAGCGCCGCTTCAACTCCAACGATGCCACAACCACCACCACAAGCAGCAACAGCAGCAGCAACAGCAACGACGCAGCAACTACAAACAGCACTACAACAGACACCGACAACGACAGCAGTAACAAAACCCTCAAACGTTTGCAACAATCCTCGCCTGTTGCACCTGCAGAACAAGTGGAAGCTGGTCTGGAGGATGAGTAGCGAGAGGAAGAACAAGCTGCAGGATTTGTTTGCTAAGTTGCTACAGGTGGATGACTGTTCCTTTCTAGTTGTTTGTTTGTTTGTTCGTTTGTTCGTTCGTTTGTTTGAATTATATGTTTTCTCATGGTCCTTTATAGTTACGATTTTATTGAATTTTTTTAAAATTTACTGGTTCAACTCATTGTTTACTCCAACATCCACGCAACTGACGTCACCTCCCAAACAGCAAAAACCCTCCTCGAATTTTGACTTCGGTCGCTGGTGCCACCGCTTTTCCTCGTGGGTGCGATCCAGGGACATCGACGTGGGCACTGCCATCTTCCAGACCGCTGTCAGGAAGAGGGATGGATCCGTCTCTAAAAAGGAATTCATCGAGGCTTTGGCCATGCTGAGTTCGTTCCATTTCCGCTGCTACAAATTTTTTTAAATTTTATTTCCTGGTTCATTTCTTCTTTCCATTCTTCTGTCACTAATTCCATCCTCATCTTATCTCACCTATCATCATTGCATGCCATCAACTGCTATCACCTGCCAAAAAACATCATTATTTTCATATTTATCACCACCACCACCACCACCATCATCATCACTACTGCCATCATCACCACCATCATCAGAGTTTCAGTGTCGACCTGGTGATATAAGTGGAGCGTTCGACGCGTTGGACGAGCAGAAGACAGGCAGGGTACATCACAAGGATTTCATGGAGAAGTTACATCTCTTGCCTAAGGTCTAATGATGATGATTGTGGTAATGATGGTGGGGGTGATGATGACGTTTGTGACGATGACGCGGGGAATGGTGACGTCAAAATCGCGATATGAAATGAATCCAAGTATCGTTCAACCTTTTGAAAATTATTGTTTAAAGATTTTACATTTCATGCTACATTTTTTTTTATAACTTTTGCCATTGGTTGACAGAAGCCAAGAAGTCAGCCAATCACAGACGCCGAACAAATTCATGAAGATATCGAAGACCAATTAGCTTACTGCAAATGTCCGCAAAAGTATTCCATTGTTAAGATTGCAGATGGAAAATATAGAGTAGGCATTGATTCTTGTTGATTTATTGTTGATATGTTAATTCATTTATTTGTTCATTCGTTCATTCATTTATTCATTCATTGATCTCTTCAACCATCTATCTATCCATTATATCTATCAATCATATTTATCCATTTCCTTCCATTTATTCATCCTTTCATTAATGGATTGATGGATTGGTTCATTCCACCAACCATCCCCCAACAACAACAACCTCATTTCAGTTTGGCGACAAGGGCAAGAAGTGTTTGGTACGTTTCCTCAACAGCAACGTCATGGTCAGAGTCGGTGGGGGGTGGGTCACCCTGTCCAAATATCTTGAGAGCAACGACCCTTGCAAAGGTCTGCGAATGATGATGATAAATTGATTTTCAAATGATCTTGTTTCAATTTTTGAATATTTTTTACCTATCCTCTTAAGCTAAGGGTCGAACCAATTTTGACTTGAGAGATCGCTATCTGACCTCCATGGTTGATGGCTCCTACCAAGTTAGAACTAACTCACAGCAACGAAGGAGGAGTCAGGGTATGCTTGTGTGTGATTGGCTGGTTGATGTTGCTACTGTTTCCTCTAACTACTCTTTCATACGTTGCTTTATGTTGCTTCGTTTAATATTCATAGCTGGCAGCGAGCACACGTCATCATCTCCATCATCTCCTCACCTTTCTTCACGATCTCACCAACTGGACAATAATCGATCCGGAAGTGGTTCGAGCACTCCCATCGGTCGGAAGACTCCGACAACCGCCATGACGGGTGCTGGAATGCTGTCGAGATCCCGAACTCCGGACAGCTTCCTGAACGATGTGTCTCCGTCATCTTCTGTTCACAGTTTCAGCACCAAGCAACATCCCACGCCGAAAACGTCAGCAGCAGTAAGTTCGAGAAGTAAATCAGTCCTCAGTCCGGCTACAGTCGCAAGAACGCCTGCCAACAAAAAACATCTCAACGATACTTCGACAACAACAGCCACAAAAGTTAAAACAACGTCCGCAACAACATCCGTAACAACGTCATCGTCGTCGGCCCACAGGGGTCCAAATCAATGGAGAGCTGCAGGCTCATCCAGGGCTTCCATTGGGGGGTCGTCTTCGTCAGATGCCGCTAATTCTCCCTTCCTGGATATGAACAAGAGGAGATCTTCATTAAATCAACCGCCTATGAAATTTTAATTTTTTTGTTGATAATTTCATTTCTTCCGAGGAGACACTAAGATCGTAAGCGTTGTTGAATGCCAAGTACTACTTTTATGGTTCTGTTTATAAGCTTAAAATGCTGCATAAGCTTATTGAGAAAATAAACATTTGGGTTTTGAATATTAACGTTAATATATATATATATATATATATATATATATATATATATATATATATATATATATATATATATATATATATATATAATCTGTTTAAATATAGGTTCATTCGTTCTGGTTCATTCATTTTTGAATCTTCAGTCAGTCATTTATTTACCCATTCATTCATTCGTTCATTCATTCGTTCATTCATCTATTCACACAATCTTTGATGTTTCGATTTCTACAGATATTTTTAATTAATTGGTTTGGTTATTGTTGTTGTACCAGTTGAGAACGATACGTTATAACATGTTAATTAATTATCAAATATTATCTGTGTGTATCTTAACATACGTGTGGATCATATTTTCATCCATCCTGTATCCCATTGGTTCCTGCTACAAACGTTTTTATCATCTTTTTTTCACAATATTAAAATTATTTACATACCTATAATAAATGCCCTTATCACATTATATTGTTATTATACATTCTTATTTATGTAATTATAACAATGAATATTCATTGAGATTTTGTCTTTAAATGTCTGTTTATGTATTGATTTATTATCTCACACACACATACACACACATACACTCACGCACACACATTATTTAGTTCAGTTAGTCTCATGTTACATGTGTTAAATGCAAAGGTATTATTATTAGATAGAAAAAAAATTTATTTCTTAATGTTTATCTTCTCAAAATTCATTTTTATGTACAATCCGTTTTTCTCTCTCCTCTCTCTCCTCTTCTTCTCC